CCGATGTTAGGAAGTCACTCGGGTGTGAGGCCATTTTGACTCAGGTTAAGCCACTAATAAAAAAATGTGAGGAAATAATACCCTTTCGGATAGATTCAAAGATATTCAAGCTTTCCTTTTCAGGTCTTTTCGTCACGAGTTTTGAGAGTTGATTCATCATTCGTTCTTTTTGATGGTTTTAGGTGAATCGGTCCCTCCTCTCTCTCACCCCTTTTTTGTTCTTTTTTTCCTTGCTTCTTGGTTTGGTTTTTGATGCTTATGTCTGATACATAAGTGTCCACGTATAGCCTTTTGCTATACGTGAAACCATCAAGCAATGTCGCAAGATAAAGGCATACCGGAAATAGAGCATAATGATATGTCATCCTACGACATCGGAATCCGATTCAGAAACCCATCAGAATCCGATTCAGGAACCCAGTGAGCTGTAGGATGACAATATTATTCACCGACCTAAGACTAGCGGGAGTTGACCCAAACCTTCTTAGGTTATTGGTAGTCTTATGCCCGACAGCGCGATGGACTCGTGGACAACTACTTATCAAAATTGATAAAAACAAATTTAATAAGAACAAATACACATTTTTCTAAAACAAAAATACACTTTTCGCTTCAAACAAAATTGATACAGCTCACTTTTTGCATATTTGAAGCTTATGTGCATGTTGAAAATATAAATTTTAAATGCATTTTAAACATCGGTTGCCCACCTGTTGATCACCTGTTTAGGCTGAGGAGTACCCTCCTGAGTTAGGTTCGATAGGACACCATTCTAGTTGAGTGGCGGGCTTTATACATCCGGCTGACCGAGTAACCTTCGACGGCCCTCGAGCACTAATATATAGTTGAGCCTAGCCCCGACCAAAGTGCTTGCGGTCCCCCTCTTTTCGGACTTTTTCATATGTTTTCTCAGAATTTTTGGACAAAGCACTCGATGTTTCTTTGTTTTTCGCTTATATAAATCATTTCAGCATGTTTTCTCAAGTCTTGTTGCATCAATTACACCTAAGGAACAACGGATCTCCCAGATATACAAGTTTGTTTTATGTTTACAGCATGTTATTCTCTTATAATCACTTCCCTGTTGTACATTTTACTTTTCTTTACAATGCATGTTGTATTATTTTCTTTACTGCATACTCTACTGTTTGTCCTGTGTTACATATTCTACTGTCATGTTATACACTTTACAACTTCAACATGTTATCCATAAAATATTTGAAAAACTACAACCATAGGGCCGCTGGATTTGATATTATAACCTAACATCCTAGAAAACTTAAACTCGTCACGACGAGGAGCTTGGAACTAGCGCGATGAGCAGCACGACCATCTTCAACAGCAGAATATGTCTTCCTCAGTTAAACAATTCATTTCCTAGAACCTATACGTGAAACCATCAAGCAATGTCGCAAGATAAAGGCACACCGGAAATAGAGCATAATGATATGTCATCCTACGACATCGGGATCCAATTCAGAAACCCATCAGACAGGAACCCAGTGAGCTGTAGGATGACAATATTATTCACCGACCTAAGACTAGCGGGAGTTGACCCAAACCTTCTTAGGTTATTGGTAGTCTTATGCCCGACAGCGCGATGGACTCGTGGACAACTACTACAACTATTTATCAAAATTGATAAAAACAAATTTAATAAGAACAGATACACCTTTTTCTAAAACAAAAATACACTTTTCGCTTCAAACAAAATTGATACAGCTCACTTTTTGCATATTTGAAGCTTATGTGCATGTTGAAAATATAAATTTTAAATGCATTTTAAACATCGGTTGCCCACCTGTTGATCACCTGTTTAGGCTGAGGAGTACCCTCCTGAGTTAGGTTCGATAGGACACCATTCTAGTTGAGTGGCGGGCTTTATACATCCGGCTGACCGAGTAACCTTCGACGGCCCTCGAGCACTAATATATAGGGTCTCTTTTCGGGATTTTTCCGTATTTTCTACGATTTTAATCGATCTGTCAATTCGACTATTTACTCGCATTTCTCTTATCATGGGTTTTTGACGATCTTTCTCGAGATTTCTGGACGATGTTTCTTTGTTTTTCGCTTATATAAATCATTTCAGCATGTTTTCTCAAGTCTTGTTGCATCAATTACACCTAAGGAACAACGGATCTCCCAGATATACAGGTTTATCTCCCAAACAACGGATCTCCCAGATATACAAGTTTGTTTTATGTTTACAGCATGTTATTCTCTTATAATCACTTCCCTGTTGTACATTTTACTTTTCTTTACAATGCATGTTGTATTATTTTCTTTACTGCATACTCTACTGTTTGTCCTGTGTTACATATTCTACTGTCATGTTATACACTTTACAACTTCAACATGTTATCCATAAAATATTTGAAGAACTACAACCATAGGGCCGCTGGATTTGATATTATAACCTAACACCCTAGAAAACTTAAACTCGTCACGACGATGAGCTTAGAACTAGCGCGATGAGCAGCACGACCATCTTCAACAGCAGAATATGTCTTCCTCAGTTAAACAATTCATTTCCTAGAACTTAAAACAACAATCCGTAGGATTTTGAGGTTGTTCACCTAGCACAACATAAATCTTCAATATTTTCGTTAGGCATTTGTATATCATAAATCTTCAACATTTTCGTTAGGCATTTATATATGCTCTGCTGTATATGCTCTGCTATACGATCTAAGCCCTAACTCGTTTTAGGATTTTGATGTTATCGTTCATTACGATCTAAATCCTCACATCTTTCGTGTCGTTTGTACGATCTTTTCACACGAATGTAAGTCCTAATTAGATAAAATTGACAGGATGAAACATTTCATGAAACATTTGAATAATTTCTCCTCAAAACTGAAGCCAAACCATAAGGTAAACTGGGAAGTCACCAAGGATCTCCTCTGGATCTGTGGCATCCCCTAGTTCTTCTTTCTTTGGATTCTGTAATAAATGTTCTAAACTTAAATCATTCCCCTTTCACACTTCTTTATCCGCTATCGTTGAAAAGATAAATGTTCTAAACTTGAGTCATTCCCCTTTCACACTTCTTTATCCGTTATCGTTGAAAAGTTTCATCCTTTTGAAATTCTTGAAGATAATTTTTCTGATTTTTATCGAGAGTATTCTTAAGTGATTTCAGTCATTTAAGATGTAATTAACTATAGGAGTTTGCCCTTATAGGAAATTTTTTCGAACTCAGCTTAAAATAAACAATATTTAATTTTTCATATTAAATAGGGGAATTTGTCGGCAAATAAAACGGTTTCACAGACCAAACGAACGTCATATCTTTCTTAGTTTATTTGATCGAGTCTCATCCTCAAGTCTTGTGTTTATCCCACGGAATAGATACAGGGTTTGAGGTAAAGCACTCTTTCATTTAAACTATGAAAAATATAGAGTCGAATATGAAAATTATGGGGTCAGTTTGATTTCATATTTTTTTCCAAAATTAAATTTATATGTAAATTAAAGCGTCCTTCCGAAGCGAATGACGGCGACGGAGATAAGGTATCCACCTATTGAGAAGCATTGTCTGGCATTAATTTTTGCAAACAACTCAACATTTTTATCGCCGACAACTAGGTAATTCATCCATATGGTACAGACATAGTATTTGTGCAGACTATCAAGTATCAAAAGTACCTTTACACATTCATGTTTTATTTGTACAGAATGCAATTATCAAAACAAATTAGTGCCAATCAAACCAACTAATGATTTCATATTTTGTTCAATCCTTGCTTTACACATTCACAGAAAGAATCTTATTGGGAAACTCAAAAAGCGTCAACATGTCAATGAATTCATTCATGATAACTAACTTCAAAAAAAACATGACATGTAAAACTCCCTTGTGTGTGATTAACTCGAAAGATGCATAATGCACTATATTTCTCATTAAATCATTTGGATTACATCTTAACCAGGTAATACATCCATATGGTATAGACAAAATATTTGTGCAGACTATCAACTATCAAAAGAAACTTTGTGAAATATAACTAAGAATATACATTTTTCTTCTTCGCACATCCCACGCCCCCCTACCCTTAGTCTGTTGCCAAGCAATTTTAAAATTTATTCATCAACCTTTACGTGAATCATATCTTCACAAACTTACCAATTATTCATACGAATCAATTGTACAAAAATATTCATTCAAATATTCCTGTCAAATATATCAATCACAAGTCTATTTAATATGACAATAGAAGATAAGTGGACTTCAAAAAACGTGTTTATATGATAGTTTGCAAAAATCTTGAAAAGTTTACTAATAAAATTATACGATGTCATGGGGAAATAGATGCAACTTAAAACTTTAAAAAAAAAATAGTATTTATTGAAATTTTAGTTTAAAAAATGGCTTTATAGATGAACCATTCAGCCAAATGGTTGGTGATTCTTTTCATATATTGTTACTAGTTGAAAGCGCTATTGAATTTGATCAAATGTTATTCAGTCAGGTTTTCCTTCATCTGCATGAAATTAATTGCCTACATAAATTTCCTAATCAACAACTTCTTGTTATTAACAGAATGCCAGAAATATTTTTATCCCAATTCAACTTTAACCCTTACAGCTTTCCTTTTAAAAAATAATAAAGATTTTCACAATAAACCTTTATTTTACCATGATAAATAAATGTTTATTGCTCAGTTAACAAGATCCAAATCTACGTTGCATGCTAAATGTGCATTAAAAACCCAAGATTATAAAAAATTCTTCATAAAAAAGACTGATGGGACATCAATTTAACGTGTCACTCAAGGAAGAGAGGAAAAAAGCAAAAACTACAAAAACTAAATAACCACGCGCCAAATCTCATTAGAACCATTCAAAATATTTTCAGTCTCTTTCTATAAGCAAACAATAACTCTTATATCCTAATGAATTGAGATAAATCATTAATAGTTTGATGTAACAATGGATGAGCGAAGGGCAATTAAAAAAAAATGAAAGGAAAAAATATGATAAATTAATATCATTACCTTCGGGAGATGAATGAATATAGAATTTCTGAAAATTTTACTCATATCGCACTGTTTTGATTGTTTAGGTGTTCTTAATCCTTCTGTTAGTTGTTTCAAAGGAAAAGGCTGCAAGAAAAAAATGATAAGTTAGCGTAAGCTCGATCAGCAATGTAAATAAAAGGTTAAGAGTACGGGTTTTAGGAAATGAGTGGAGCAAGAAATGGAAAATGAAGAGAGAGTTTATCAGTTTGGGTAACTTCAAATATAAATCAACTAATACTCCTAGCAATAAGCAATATACCATGCTAACACATCAATTTACATCAAAGCTCACACTTTTTAGATCAGCAGATGGGATAACTACTGCCTTTAAGAGCAATAAGCAAAATCCTAAACATTTAAACTCCAGCAGAAAAATAAACCAGGTATTATAGAAGTGAAAGAACAGGCACAGCTTAAAATCCACAAAAAAGGAAGAAGCTTATATTGTCCTTGAAGGAGATGATGAAAGAGCAATACAACACAGAACAGCAAAAAGTTAGGAAATTGAGAAGGCAAGGTATATAGAGTGCATATAATGACAAATAGTTTTAAATGTGTTGCTTAAATGGCCAAAGTAAACAAATTATATTAAAAAGGATAGCAATTACCAGCCGAGAAAAGCGAATTTGTGGAACAACCAATGTCTGCATTATGCAAAACCAATATTAATGAAGAAAAGAATATGCCAAATTGAAAAATCTGACGGTTCAAGTCTGCAAAAAAGAAGAATTTCTAAAAGTGTTCAATCCAAAACAGAAAGAAGGTTCGTACTAGCTTTTCCTTCTCTTTAGACCCTGTTTCTAAAATGTTCTGACCACATATCAAAAGAACAGGCCCAGAAAGTTGTTCAAACATTTGCTCCATCTTATTAATAAACTCCTTACAGCTCGACGTTGGAACAGCTCTCAACAACCATTTGGAAGAATCGGGAAAATAAACAATAAGTGGTTGCAAGGATGGCAGGACCTGCAAGGAAGCCAAGAACAACAAAAAAGCAATCAAGTGCTTCAGCTAAATCACTTGGAAGTTCATCACAAACAAAAGCTTGAGATCTAATTATGAGGATATGATATAAAACAGATTTTGCTTAAATCAATGGCTAATTAGATTAAAAAAAGCATCACAAAGTGCACATTGGAGAAACTGATCACCTCGCAAAGAGCTTCAAGAGCTATATACCAATCTTCAGCCTCAGTGTCAAGATCACGCACAATATCCTGAACTAAAAAAAGATAAAAAAAATTAAGTTCCTCAGCGCTCTACACAAATGCTCTGATGATCATGTTTCCAAGGCATGAACAGCATGAAATACTCCTGTAGTATCGTTTCGTTAAGATTTTCTCAATTATTTATGCATGGTATATTACATCCAGTATCGCCAATTTTGCAAAGCTTTTGATGCTTCATATAGTACAACAGAAAATGCAATGTTGCAGATCATTTGGAACACAAACAATTAAACCAGTGGATAAAGAAAAAATACATTTCATGCAATATTGAAATTATAAGAGAATAAATGAAATTTCAATTTTTGAAGTTCAACCACTTTAAGATGAAACCTACTCGAAATAATCAGGATTAGTACTATATAATATGTGGAATAGAAACATACTGTCAAACCAGTAAACAGATAATTTCTCATCTTTTCCCTTATCATCTCCTACTGTCTCGTTCATTGTATTATCAAGAATCACAGCAACATGATTATCTTTAACTTCATACACTTCCCCACGTTGCCCAGTCGCCAGTGACCTGCAAGAAATTACAGAATTTAGGGATGATCATAAGAGAAACAAGGAAAAAATAAGCCACCACACAAGTGCACCAAACTTAAACATTTGCATCATGCACTTAATGAATAGAAGAATATAGACAACACAAACCAAAACTTATTTCACTAAAATGCAGGAATCAGATTTTCTTTCCATGAAATCTATGGTTAGATCCACAATTGTTAATGGCCTCACAAGGAAAGGATAGGAGCCATATATTATAGAATCTGCGTAGGAAGACAACTAATAACACTTCCAAAACCTCAATAACATCAACACAGATCAGATTCAAATCAAAGCACAATTTGAATAACTGGAAGCATACCAATAACACTTTCCAAATCTCAGTAACATTAACACAGATAGAATTCAAAATCAGAACAACAATTTGAGTAATTGAGAAATATCCATCCACATACTGTACTTTCAATTTTAGTTTTCTGACGACCGGTTACACAAGTCAATAATGCTTTTGTGCGTTTATCAAACCTAAAGCTGTAAAGATTAAAAAAAAAGAAAACAGAAGAGACTAATTCAAAAACTCTCTCTCTCTCAAATTGTAAAGCAAAGCAAAGTGGATTAACTTGTGCTGTGGCTCTAAATTATCTTAGTGGACAGGTTCTCCACAATTGATCTAAAAATCAACCCATACAAATAGGGAAGCCTTAACACACCTGCCACTTAAAAAAGTACAGGTATCAGTTGATCCATATGAAGGATGTGTTTTCCCCAATTTGAACCTGTGATAATATTTTCTAACAATCAGAATAGCGTGAACATGTAAAGAGAAGTAATGAAGATTATAAGGATGTTGTGAGCACACAATGCAATAAGTTATTGGATGTTAAACTAAATTCTAAAAGGCGAGCGTGCCATACATAAGTCATGTCACAATCATCAACATTAGTATCATTTGTGATGCCTACACTTAGAATTTGATAATAAAAAGAAAAGAATAAACTCACACCAGTGCGAGCAGCAGTTATTTCAGTATATTAAATGTGGTTAACTTGTTTGTACACCAAAAAAGTTGCACAAAAAATTTTGAGTTCTGCAAGTGACTTGGGAGAATCTAAACTCACGAACTAAAGATATAGGAAATCATACACATTTATCCTTTATAGAGCCCATAGAAATTCTGATTTCAACCTAACTAAATCCCCATTAATTCTATTCATATATAAACAAAAATATTAATTCATTAATCGAGAGTGATCTTGACTATGTCTGGAATATAACTAAGCTTAGGAGTATGTTCCTTTGGGAAACTTCGATCTAATTATTAAACTAGACCATATTCAGAGTCACATTCCTTGCAACACAAATATCCAGGATGGATGCTATCAATATAAGCTCCACTAATCCTTGTGACCCTACATAGTGCATTAATTATACTACAATTAATCCTCTATTACAAGGTCACAAACATCTTTTGAATCCAACAATAGGTCATCAATTTATCCCAAAAATTAATCTTTTTTTTATTCTAACAATCCACCTTTAGGAGTAAAGGCAACTACCAAATTCAAAAATATCCACACCAATAATTATCATAATAAAAATCAACCAAACAATAATTATATTCACTTCAATAATTTTAATTTCCACTCTTTATCCACCAGCATCCCAACCCTATCTCTATTGCCAACTGTTGTAACATACAGGATCTTATAATCTTCAGAGTTTATAGATTTATTTCTTTCATTTAGTTACTTGTCAAAAAGTAATTTGTATTTCTCTTCCAATAATTGAATTCACCAATTATCTTATCTTCCCATTCAAAGCCCCAAAATTCTAACTTGCAAAACTAACCTTAGATTTAGATCTAATCAAACCATTAATAACTTTTCTACACATAAACTAAGCTGTGGTGCATCACCAAGGGTGACATCCTGAACTACCATATTCTACTTATAAATCCAACTAGATTATGTTTTGGTGTATGGGAGACATCCTAGTAGACCCTTGCCTGAATCTCATTACAATCATATTAAGTTCTGAAGCATCCCTTCTGAGGATTCCAAGTACTACAAGCAATAAATTAAAGCAAGTGATAAAATTCCACAGAAGCCCCACCATATGGACAGTTATATAAGCGTACAACAAATATGAGTGATAGATTTCCACCAATTATGTCAATTCAAAACTGCTAACAATAGAACCGTTCTAATAGTTCCATTAATGTTATGTAGAAAACTGAAATGAAAAAGAATTGTCCACATAAAATTAGAATTTAAATACTCTTTTTCAGCTCCAACTAGCACACAAGCCCCAACATACTTCACACGATCACCTGCACAAAGAAGAATAATGATTTTAATAAAAGTTGAACGGTATAAGTTTACTAAAATATTGCCTAGGATATCACAAGAGTAGTGTGACTGTCTATAGGTAAAATCGTATCTTTAAATTCTGAGAAATTCTCACCTATTCATATGGGTAATAAAACACAGAAAAATGCCCTAAATAATAATTGTGGCAATGTTCAATAGAAATAATTGTAAGTTGTTTCTCAGTATTAGCATGAGAACATATGCTATCTGCCAAGTTTCACTCTAACCCTATCACTTATTCACTAGAGGAAAGCCGGAGGCAACTAGGAAAGAATCCGAAAATATTCGACCTTCTGAGAGAGTCTTAATGTAAAATTAAATTAAACAATACCACAAATAATTCCAAAAATTATACAGGTTGTCACATATCATCATTATAAATGTTATGTGCTAGTAGGTGTATTAAAAAGATAAAATAATAGAGCCATTGGTTATCATTCTTTAAAAAACCATTCAAAGACACCCAGAAAACAAGCATAGAAAAAACAGTGAGAAACCTCCATTCAAACTGGCATGTACAAGCCTAACATGTCATCGTATGAGATAAACAATTGTAAGGTTTTCATACATACTATTCAATTCCTATGCATATACATACCTAAAACCCGAACTCTAATTTTTACATACATATCAACTTACCTATCATGAAAATGTGTATTTCCCCCTTTAAAAGTTAAATGGTGGTATTTTTTATGTGATAATAAAGATTTGGGTGGTATAAATGTAAAAAAACAAATTTTAGGTGTTAGATATATAAATACATAAGAATTGGGTGGTATGTATGTAAATGACCCGCAATAATTTGCTAAAGTTCCATAAGAACTGCACTAACGCATATTACCCTTCTTGAGAGGCCTTTCTGATTCTTCTGAGGAGGCATCCGTTTCTGCAGATGCCGGTGTGTTTTCAGTTTCTCCAGATATATTCTGCATTGATTTAATCAAATTATAAAATATTACTCAACATATTGCAATAAAATATGGATCATTCAGTATCTAACCTTTGCAAATTCCTCAAGGCTACAAGGCAAAAGTTTCTTAAGAGCCTCTGTAGATGCTTGCACATCAACACTATCATCCTCATCACTTTCACCTGACTTTGCTTCACTGCCGCTTGCCCATTCTTCTTCATTTCTTGCCTCATTGTGCTCCTCTTCCTCTGATTCTGATGTACAGCCTTCTCCTGATTCAGCATGCCCATCCTCTGACTCAATTTCTGAAGCACATTCTGCACCAAAATCCTGCATCACAGATTCGAAACATAATAAGAAAAAAGAAACAGCCTTAATCTTCTTCCAAGAGAAACCAATTATTATTGCCAGTGAATATGCATCATAAAGCACTTACAAATGGAGCAAGAACAGTACTGTCAAGCACAAGCAAGGGAACCTGCAAATCTCTAGCAAGGGCCCGGACTAGCCTCTCCCGGTAAAGTTCGGTCCCTAAAAGGAAAACAAGCAACTTTATTACTATTTTAAAAAAACAATAGCACTAGTGTAGGGATGAATAGAAAAAAAAAAGCTAATAGAAAGAAAAGAATTCATGCGATATTTGCTAAGAAACCTGGCATGCTCTGAAGCAAAATTCTCCCACTTGAAGAGGCCAACCGTTCACCGTAACTTGCTGCAAAGTTTCTCTGTCTCAAATGAGAGGCAGCGCATTCCACCAACAAGTTTTTAGTGTGTTCACTGTTACATCAAATGAAAACTATACTTAAGGATGCAAATTACAAAAAAAAATAACAATAACAAAAGTAGATGAATAACCGTTACTTGATGAAATATGGAAATGACTTCCACGATACTGTAATTTTCTCCCATGGAACCACTCTCCGCAGGAACTCGTTTTTGAAACGCTGCCGCATTGGTAAAAAAGGAGACTCCTTTTCTTTGCTAGCAATAGACAGCTTCTCTGCGTTGAGCCATTCCTGTTGTTCATGTTCCCCAAGTTGTGCATGGAAGTCGTTGTGCTCGGAATTAGATGAAACTTTCTCCACTTCCGATTTTCCATCACCAAACTTAGACGCATCCTTAACAGGTGCATGCTTTCCCTCACTGGCATTACTTCCATCACCTCTCGAACTATAAAATCTATATGATTTGTATGCTAAAGCGGCCTGATACCTACTATAAAATCCTACAAAAGAAGTCGGCAAAGACGGTGCAGACGAGCAAAATCTTCTAGCAGCATTCTGATTAGGCGAGATTTCTGTAAAGTCTGTATTTCTGCATGAATGAAATTGGGACCTGATCTTAGGGTTTGACCTAGGTGTATTATTTGATCGACTTAGTTGGAAACCCCAGCTCTGCCCTCTACTTTTCAGCTTTCTTGCATACATTGCAGCCTAAGTTTGCAGGTCTTACTGCATTGCCGTGTTCACTTGCATCTACTGCAGATAAACCTGCAAATTTACAGAGAAAATATGAGTGGAACACGAAGCATAAGTCAAACAACAGAGCTAAGTTTTACTTTGTCCTAATTCACACAACAAAAGATTACCATATGCTTTCCTAATCTCCAAAGATGGGTTTTTTTTTTTTTTTTGCTGCTTTTTTTTTTCCTTTTTTTTTTTTTTTTGGGTTACCAGAGAACCAACAAAATTCAAGCCTAACACAGCAGCTGATGCAAAGAACCGAAAACAATTAGAAAATCCTTCTAATTGATCTTAAAGCTTGCGGTGGAGAACTCACGCCGATAGCAAAAGGCCTAGAAGCTCGAGATTTTGAAACAAAGTTGAAGAAGGAAGTTCGGTATCAATCCGCGCAAGGAATACCTCATCTACCTCCTCTATCATTCGTGGGCGAAGGAAAATAAAAAATGGAGAAGAAAGTGGGACAAGGGTTTCTTCTCGGCGAAATTTTAGAAACAGCTATCGCTCATGGTCGCCATGTCGCGAAATGTCCACCCTAACGGTGTATACCAGTCGAGTCGGGCTACATCCGCCTTCAATTTGAGTTGGGGCTTGATCAATCAACGGAATTGGGGCTTGCGCTTGAACTTCTTTGTGAATTCAAGTTAGTTCGTGATTTTTTTTATTTTTTTTTTTTTTGGTTCTGTCTGCTATTCATGAATAAAAATAATATTAAAGTTATAATAAAATAATAGATAAAGATTAAAAATGGATAAATATTAAAACTTTATCTTATATTAAATATAAGTTTATTGTCTTATTATTATATAT